CCCTCCCTCCCTCCGTCCCTCCCTCCATCCCTTCCTTCCGAGTCTCTGCCTCCACCTTCACCCTTTCTTCCTGTAAGCCACAGCTTACCCTGGAGCACCAGGCTCCTCATCCTCCCCGTGTGGCAGGCACCTTTGCAGAGCAGTCTGGCAGCTGCACCCCTCTGCCCCACCCCTGTGTCCCCTGCACCTCACTATTCACTCTGGCCCCTTTTGCTCCCCACCCTCTTCTTTCTTTTATTGAAACAGAAAAATGTATTGCTTTTTTAAAATTCATTCTTTCAACAATTATTTATTGAGTGCTTACTGTGTGCTTAGCAGTATTTTAGGAACGGAGGGTACGGAAACAAACAAACCTGTCTCAGGCAGAGCTGAACTTGCATTTGAACTTGACAGCTGACTAGTTCCATACTCATCAGGTTCCCAGAGTCTGTTGGGGGTGGGGAGAAGCATGAGCAGTCCAGTGAGTCATCACCACGCCAGTGACCCCGAACTTGCCAGCCCCATCTCCTTGCTGTCTGCAGGCACCAGTGAAACAAGACACCTGCTCTGAAAGGATGGAGCGGTTCATACTTCACTGTTTTGGGGGGGCTGAGTAGACGACTGATGCTTCAGACAGAGGAGGAAGTGATGATTATCACTCACTGAGCACCTACTATGCACCAGTTTGTGTCAAGGGCTTTACAAACAAATCCTATTCAGTCCTCCTGATGGCTTCCTAAAGCCTGCACTGTCATCCCGTTTTCTAGTTGAGAAAATTGAAACTCGGAGACAATGGACCACTTGCCCTGGGTCACACAGTCTCGTTTTGATATCACTGGTTATCTGCAGTTCATTTGTGCCCTCTCCTGTGTGTGACATCTGGTAATTTGTCCAGAGTTCCCATCTCTCCTAACCTTGCAGCAGTGTGTTGTCCTGTCTCCCGAGTTAGGGTACTAGAATATCTAAGCTTCGTGTATAAGCGATCTCAGGGGACCAGAGAAGGCTTTCTAGGGGAGTTGGGACCCTGGAAGGGAGGCAGAAAGGCGAGGAATTCTTCTGATCTCCTAGAGATGCCAGTGGAACAGTGACCAGCAGCTCCCCGGCCCAGTCCCACCTGCTCCCAGGGAGTGCGCCACGGAAATCACTGTTTCCCTTCTGGGTCAGCGCAGGAGCTGGGTCGGTGACCAGGCTAACAAGCCAGTGTTGCTCATGTTCTCAGCCTCCTCCGGCAGGCCTGGGCCCGGTGAGAGGGTCACGGCATGCAGAGGACAGGGTGGAAAGCCACAGGGAGGGACGAGGCCATGGTCAGAGGCTGCCATAGAAGAAGTGACCAGAGCGCAGAGGGAGGAAGACAAAGGAAGAAGCTACCTGGGACAAAAAAGCCACAAGACGGGAGACACCCCGCACACACATGCACAACCTTACTGTCTTGTGTTGCTGGACCCTAAGAGAAGACACCGCCCATGGGGCCTTGTGGGCTCCGTGTCTGGCCTGCAGCTCTGAGGCTGAAAGTGCCCCAGGTTGGCCTCATTCAGGCCCTTGCTCAGTTAATCAGCCTGCTGTGCTGGGTGTTAGGAGCACAGAGACAAACCGGATGTTGACTTTCCTCTCGGGAACTCAGTGAGGGTAGAGATCCTAGAGCCCCATGCCGGCTGGAAGTTTGAATCTGCCTCCGTACTTATAGCTGAGAGCTACGGCGTGAGCCATCCTAGCTCCCTGTGCCTCAGTTTCCTCGTCAGTCAAGGTGGTAAAAAAAATACCTATTTCCTGGAGCTGTTAGGAGAATTAAATGAAGTGATACATACAGCAAGCCAGATCACTGTCTGGCATATAATAAGTGCTAAGTAAACATGTTGTTATTATTAGGGGGGGGGTCCATCCTGTGGACAGAAATGAGGCCTGTGCTCTATTTGAGCTGAGTGGAGGTGATGCCTCTATCTGCAGATGGGAAAGGCTGGCAGAAGGACATGATATTTGGGCCAAGACTTGAAAAGGAGTCCGCAGGCCGACGTACCGGGCCTGGGGATGCCAGTGCTGAGGTTTTTCTGGGGCACAGGAATCGTGCCAAACACATAGTGTCTCTCAAGGACATAGTCAACACCACTGACCGGTCCCCCTCGGCCTTCGCCCCTAGCAGGGAGCCGTGCTTCCTGTGGGGCTGGCCAGCCTCCCAGCACAACCCCACACCCTTGGGTGTAAAACAGTGGGCAGGGGACCCTGGGCAGCCTTGCCAGGCGCTGTCACAAGGCCTCCTGCACATTCCAAGCCTTCACCAGACTCAGCTACAAGCCCCAAGCTGCCACACTCCTGGCCCCTGGCTCTTCCTGGGGACCCAGGAGATCCCTTGGCCTGAGGGAGCTGCCTTTAGGAGGTGCATATAACCGAGATGGGTTTGGAATTCACTTTGTCTTGGTGTGTTTCCTCCACCTACACCTTCCCTGCTGTTCAGCCTTTGATGGATTTAAAGTGAGTTCCAGGACAAAGAGCAAGCAAAGGGTTCCTGGGGCAAAAATGGCTTCTCAGCTTCCACTGCTCACCTTGTAAAGACACAAATTACAGCATCTAGTGTTTGTTGAGCACTTACTATGTGCCAGGCACCAAGCCAAGTGCTTTATTGGAGTTTCCTCACTAAATCCTCGAATGCCCCTATTAGGTAGGCAGGTACTCTTACATCCCTGATTTAAGCATGAAGAAGCTGAGATCCAGGCTTGCTCAAAGACATTGCTAGAAAAGAGACCCAGGGAAGGTTCTCACCCTTCTCTCTGACTCCAGGGCTCCTGTCCCTTTACCACCCAGAATCCAGGATTTCCTGATCATCTGGCCTGTTTTCCTAGCTCCCTAGAAGAAGAAATCCCTTACCCAACCCTGGCCAACTGCCTCCTTTTGGAGATCATCAGAGAGGGTCTCTCTGACCCGCTTCTTCCTGTTCGTGCAGGACCTGATATTTATTCAGGATCCAACATTATTTCTTTCTGTCTCAGCCCAGAGCCTCGGGGACCTCAGAGAGCTGGACAGGAAGTCAGTGCCCGTGGACATAGGGTGGGACCTGATGCCCAGGCCACTTGCTGGGAGATAGAGGATGGGCTCAGACCCAGGAGGCGGAGGTGGAGGGGGCAGACTGAGCAGGATGCTGCCAGGAAGGCAGGGCAAGGGCAGCCATTCCTGTTTCCAAACATCTCACAGGGCAGCTCCTTGGGGGAAAATGGATAGAAGAGGGCAATGCCGGAAGCTGTCAGCTCGGTCCCCTAGGAAATGTGGGTCTGTGTCGTCTGATCCTGCAGAGAGAGAGAGAAAGGAGGAGAGAAGAAAGCCAGTTGCGTCGATGTCCTTCTGTGAAGTGTTCTCAGGCTGAGCCCTGAAGCTGGAGGATG